TCAAATAAATAAATAAAATCTTTAAAAAAATAAATAAAAAAAAAAAAGACCTTCAGCTGTTTGTATGAGGCCCACCCACCTTATGGTGGATATACTGCTTTATCCAAAGCCCATTGATTAAAGTGTTAATCTCAAAAAACATCTTCACAGAAACAGCGAGAATATTTAACCAAATGTCTAGGTATCATGGCCCAGCCAAGATGACATCTGAAATTGACCATCATATTCCCCCATCTTCACCCTAGTGAGGGGGTTTTCAAGAGATCCACTTGGAAATCTCTGAACTCTGGAGGACATAAGGACCAGAAACTGGCTTGCTCCTGGAAGCATCTAGAGATGAGATGGCTGACAGCCTCATAGAAGGGGAGAGGAGAGCGCTGAGCAGGGGGTGAGGGGCATCCACACCAAAGGCAAGGCAGAGGCACGTGTTTTCTTGGGTCCAAGGGTGGACCTCAAGGAAGGGAACCAGCATGAACCACCCAAGACAGCTTCCTGCTAGGGGCCAGGTGGACCTCGGCAGAAAGTGGCTGAGAAACTTGGGGAGTCATAAAGTGGCCGGCTTGAGAGCTTTGCACATGCCACAGAACTGTGGCCAGAGAACCCCCCGCGAGGTATCTCTGAGGAGCCCCCACAGGTGCCCCACTCTGAGGGCCCAAACAACTCGGGGGGGAGGCAGGAGGTGATGGAGCAGGAAGTGGAGGCTTTCCAGCTGTGCAGGCCTGCGCTGGGTGAGGAGGAGTGCTGGTACTCTGTAGCAAGTTCGGGGCGCTCTTCTGAATACCTAGCAAAAGAGACCATCTGTTTGTAACCTAGGAGTCACCAGAAAAGCTCTGCGTGTGTTCTGCCTGAGATCCCACGCACGGCCTGGGCAGGTAGTGCCAGAGGCAGGCAGGTGCAAGTGGGGAGGGGGCAGGAAGGCCGGATCCCCTTCCTGTCTGCACACCACCCAGACCAGCTGGCCCTGGGCTTACTTTGCTTTTGTGGCCCAGTGAGGACAGAAGTTCTGGGAAGCTTCTTTAAGTCAATCTTAGGATCCCCACTGTGATCATTGTTTCTATTATGTCTTCTGGACTGGATTTCCATGGCAGGCTAAGTCACAACACACCTGCTATGGAAAAGTTTTCTAGAGAAAAAACCTCCCGATGGGCTGTTGGGTTACCAGGGCTTCAAGCTATTGCTTTTTTAGGTAAAAACCAAAATATGAGTTTCTCCTGGGAATGCAGGAGCCACGGTACATCAGGGTGTGTTTGACGTGACACGCCTCGGGTACCATTAGTGTATCCCATGCACATGGAGCATCCCTTCTCTTCTCTTCCTCTGCTCACGCCTCCTTTTGCGAGCACCACGGTATTCAGACCTCTATTTGTGTAAAGAAATGCAATCCCTGCTCCAAGCCCACATCCTGTGTCCCCATCTCCGTGGGCTGTGTCCCTCATTCAGAGGGCCATGGTTGAGTCCAAGCATCTCTTGCTAAGTTTCCATCGTCACTTTCCCAGGGCCCGTAGCTCTCCATTCCTGCTAGAGTCAGGAAAATAATTCTGTCTGCTATATTTGTGCATGGAAATGCAGGCTCCATGATCCAAATTTAACAGAGAACAGAAAAAAGGAAAGGGAAGGGAATGGGAGGGCAGGACCCTCCAGGGTACAAAGACTGGGAGCAACTGAGGATGATGTAGAGTGTCCATCTCATGCAGGGCCCCAAATAGCCTCTCCCTCTTTTTTGTCATTGTCACTGTAGTTAGTGTTTTCATCAAGGTAATTTGAAAAGGACTCATAGACAGAAATTTTACATGACAACAAAATGTACACACTTTGGGCATGATGAATGTATTAGTTAGCTCAGCGGCCATAACGAACACCACAGACTGGGTGCTTAAGCAGCAGACTTTTATTTTCTCCTCATTCTGGAAGTTGGACATTGGAGATCAGGGTGCCAGCACAGTCAGGTTCTGGGAGGGCTCCCTGCTTGGCTTACAGACAGCCTCCTTCTCATGTGTCCTCATATGGTGGACGGAGAGAGAAAGCAAGCTCTGGCCTTTTTCTCCTCACAGGGGCCTGTCCCTCACAACCATATCTAAACCCAATTCTCTTCCAAAGGTCCCACCTCCAAATACCATCACATGGGGGTTAGGACTCCAACATGTGAATTTGAGAGGGGGCACAAATCAGTCCGCAGCAATAAATTTGTATATCCATATACACCCACCTGATCATTGTTACATAACAAAAATTTTAACTGAGTGATTTTAAGGATCTAACTGGTTTTATTGATCCATTCATGAATTGGGCAGCATCCCATCTAGCAGGTAGAGGGGAGCTCTGAAGGGCTACAGAAAGGGAAAGGTTTTTCAAGGCAACGTAAGAATATCATAAACAGAAAAAAAAGGATTATTTCAGGGGAGGTCACCTTCATTTGGGGACAAAAAGGTTTTAGTTGGTGGATGACCTCATCTTCCATTAGGGGATGAAGAGGGCCCCTGTGACAGATCACCTTATCTGTGCTGATCCGAACATTCCTGACTGACCAGGTATAGGTTATGCTCCTGGGGTGTTGAAACAGTACTTAGGTGAGGTGTTGAGAATTGGTTTACTTTTTAACACCATTAACCAGGTTTACTTTTTAACACCATTAAACAGACCAAGAAACAGAACATTTCCATTGCCCCATGAGGCTCCCTACGACCCCTTTTTTCTGGTCAATACCTAACCCTCTCAGACATAATCGTCTTCCGCTTCCATCACCATTAGCTTAGTGTTGCTGGTTGTTGAACTTTGTGTTAAGTGGGA